AAGAATTAACTTCAGTGACTGTTTTTTGGTAAGGCAAGGAAAACTGGAGGAAAACTGGTTTTTTAAGTCCAGAAAGAGACATGGCACAAAACTATGATGCCTGGATGGAAAAACAACTTTTAAATGACTCAGAAACAACAAACTGAATCATGTGCAATATGTTCAATTAACTACAAATGCTTTCAGCGTAACTTGATCCCCAAGAGTGGCTTCAGCCAAAAGTATCAGTTCAACTTATCTCTGGGAAACCTCCCAAATAACATGAGAGAAATTCATCTTTATACTTATGAAGTCTCCTACAGTGTCTAGTCAGCAAATCATAGAATCAGATGGGCTGGAAAGGACCTCTGAGATCATCAAGTCCAACCCTCGATCCAACACCACCACAGTTACCAGACCATGGCACTCAGTGCCACAGCCAGTCTCTTCTTAAACACCTCCAGGGACAGAGAATCCACCACCTCCCTGGACAGCCCATTCCAATGCCTGATTACCCTCTCTGTAAAGAACTTCTTCCTAATATCCAACCTAAATCTCCCCTGGCAGAGCTCAAGACCAGGCCCTCTTGTCTTACTGCCTGGGAAAAGAGACCGACCCCCACCTGGCTACAACCTCCTCTCAGGTAGTTGTAGAGAGTGATGAGGTCACCCCTGAGCCTTCTCTTCTCCAGGCTAAACAACCCCAGCTCCCTCAGCTTCTCCTCACAGGACCTGTGCTCCAGTCCCTTCCCCAGCCTCGTTGCTCTTCTCTGGACCTGCTCCAGCCCCTCCATGTCCTTCCTGAGCTGAGGGGCCCAGAACTGGACACAGCACTCCAGGTGTGGCCTCACCAGCGCTGAGAACAGGGGAAGGATCACTGCCCTCCTGCTGCCACACCCCTCCTGAGCCAGGCCAGGATGCCATTGGCCTTCTTGACCACCTGGGCACACTGCTGGCTCATGTTCAGCTTCCTGTCAATCCAAACTCCAAGGTCCCTTTCTGCCTGGCTGGCAGAAATCTTCATATAGAATAAACAGTTAGAAATTTTAGTTTTTCTCCTTCACAATAATACCATGACAGTGTTCTCAAGATATACCTTCCTTGGTTTCTTAAAGCTGATGCACTTGCAGGAACCATCTAGTTCTCTTTCACCTCCTCCTTCACAAGGACCAGTAGACATCTGAGTGGTTTGTACCTACCATTACCTTTTGCACAAGCATTCTCAACATGGTTTGAAACCAACAATGACTCACATATCATGTAACTGAGATGGTATGGATGTACTTCCCCCAAATATGCGGACCTGAGTTTTATTTTCCAACTTTTCTCAGCAGCATGTGGCCAAATCCTTGCCCAGTCTTACTATTAAAATGGTAAATGTTTTAAAAATGTAATTGCATAATAAAAGATGAATGTGAGGAATTTACAAGCAAGTATTGTACAACTAGTTCCAGTCGAACTCAATCTTTTCCAAAACACAAATGAGAGCATTATTCAGAATAGATAATTTGAATGGAAGATCATCAATCACATTCAAAACACTACAGAGATTTCCCTGGGTTTAAGCACAGACGCATTGGTAACAAACATATCCAGGTCTGTAGCTGATCAAGTGTTTTAAATGTATAAAATAAAGCACCACAATGACTAATCTTCCATGTGTAAAAGCATGAAGACATCAGACTGCTTCATCTAACTATTACTTAATGATTTCAGCAAGATCGTTAAAGAACAAAAGAACAATGCAACTTATTGCTCTCAGCCCTTTCCCCTGTCTTGGTATTTGAAGTTCCTGAAGCGGCAGATCTCGAAGAGCTGTGACTTTGTAAACTGTTCCACTTCTCATTAGTCTTCTGTACCTGCATGGATGAAAATTAAGATGCAATTCAAAATTTAAATCATAGGACTCCTTAGAGTTTGAGGTAACTTTGAGATGTTGAGACTGATCTTCTTTAAAGGCTCCAATAATGAGCTGGATGGTGTCTCAATGTCAATTTAGCAGCAGAGCCCAGTTAACTCAGGAGGACACAGTAGACTTCAGCTGCAGGCAGATGGGCCTGAAAACATCTGGGTAGTCTGGAAAGGTTAACACATCATACCACAATACACAGGTACAAAAATATGTTTATGCAAAGGCACTTGCTCATTTAACTCT